AGTGGTGTTGCATGTTTGAGCAAGAATCAAGAATCTCACCTCTCTCTTTAGGGGAAGGATTTGTTAGCTCTTTTCTCTCTAATACAAGAAGAGATTAAGAGTTAGATTGTGTGTTAAGAAAATAAGAGGAAGAACAAGAATAACTTGGATGAAGAAGAGCTAAGCTCTTTCGAAAAAAAAAAAGAAAAAAAAAGGAGAGGAAGAAGAAGCTTACTCCTAAGCTTGGCCGGAAATTCTCCTTTTGTTGAAATAGAAGGAGACCTTAAACTTATAGATATTGAGATTGGAGGTGGAGAGTGTATTTTGATCTTGGGCATTGGATGTATTTATAGAGTTTTTGGAGAGTTCAAAGCCAATGGAGAAGAAAGGAAAATACATCTTTTTGTGGGGGTGATTTTGAAATTTTTGAAAATAAGAGTGGTGGTGGTTCTTGGGTATGCTGGTGGTGATATGGCTGCCGAAAAATGAAGGGGAGAGTAAGAAGACAGAAAGACTTTTGGCCTTAAAGTGGTGTGTGGGAGTGGAAAAGCATACCTAGTCTATAGATTAGGGAGCTAGGCTTGGGTATTTCTTTCTATGCTCAAAGTACAAACACACCCATGCTTGTCTTCTACTAATTAATATGCAATTTTTTTTAAATCATGTGTGTGTGTGTGATGTCCGAAAATTCAAGAAAATGTGGGGTGGATTTTCTAATTTTCTACATTAATTAAAAATCCTAAAATGCATGATAAAAAATTTGTGCATGCATAAATATGATGAAATGCTTATTAAAATTCATATGCAAGAATAAAATCCTAGTTTATGAAAAATAATTTATTTCGACGTAATATCTCAAAATACTTCCTAAGCACATAATTCACATAATCACATAATTCACACAATAATTCACATAATCATATATTTCACATAATTACCTAATTCACGTAAATACTAATCATGCAGGAATTATTATAAATCCTAATTTCACAAATATGCACATAAATGTGGTAAAATAAAATAATATTATTTTACTGAAAATGCCGGGTGTTACAATCTTCCCCCCTTAAAAAAAATTTGTCCCCAAAATTTGTACCTTTTTCAATTAGTTCCAGATAACGACTCACAATCTCATCCTCAAGTTCCCACGTTGACTCATCCGGAGAATGGTTTTTCCAAAGGATTTTGGCTAGGCGAATTTCTTTGTTTCGGAGTTTCCTAACTTTTCGGTCTAATATTTGGGAGGGTTCTTCGGTAGGATAGGTTCATGGATAAATCAAGGGGTTCGGTTTCAAGGATGTGGTTAGGGTTGGGAATATATTTTTCGGAGCATGGAGACGTGAAAGACATTGTGGATCTTGGATAGTTGAGGCGGTAGGGCGAGCGATAGGCTTGACCACCAATTCGGTCGAGTATTTCGAAGGGTCCGATGAATCGAGGGCTTAACTTTACTCGTTTTCCGAATCGCATGATTCCTTTGAGTGGAGCGACTTTCAAGAATACGTGGTCACCGGCTTGGAATTCCAACTCTCGTCTTCTTTTATTCGCGTACTTTTGTTGGCGATCTTGGGCAGTTCTCATTTTATCTCGAATATTCTTGATTATGTCGATGGTGTGTTGGAGTAGCTCGGGTCCTAATAATCTTCGCTCTCCTACTTCGTCCCAATGGATTGGAGAACAACATTTTCCTCCATACAGGGCTTCGTAAGGTGCCATTCCGATCGAAGATTGGAAGCTATTGTTGTACGAGAATTCGATGAGAGGTAGACGGCTTTCCCAATTACCACCAAAATCCATTATACATGCTCGAAGCATGTCCTCGAGGGTCTTGATTGTCCTTTCCGATTGTCCGTCGGTTTGGGGATGGTATGCCGTGCTAAAGGCTAGACGGGTTCCCATCGTTTCGTGCAATCTTTTCCAGAATTTGGAAGTGAATTGGGGATCTCGGTCGGAGATGATTGATATCGGAACGCCATGGAGTTGGACGATTTCTCCGATATAGAGTTCGGCCAATTTTTCGAGACTAAAAGTGGTCTTGACCGGTAAGAAGTGTGCGGACTTAGTTAGGCGATCGACTATTACCCATATTGAATCGGATCCTTTAAGAGTCTTCGGGAAAACTTGAACAAAGTCCATCGTTACTCTTTCCCATTTCCATTCGGGACTAAGGTTGGATTGTAGAAGTCCACCGGGCCTTTGGTGTTCCATTTTGATTTGTTGACAAGTTAGGCATTCGGATACATTTTGGTTTCACCCGGATGGGCAAGAGTAGGGCGTTTTGTGAGCTTCGTCCAGAATTAGTTCCTTTATCTCTTTGTTTGCCGGTATGCAAATTCTCCCTTGAAATTTCAAGATTTTGCCGTCGGTCATTGAGAAATTTGAATTTTGACCGGTTGCTAAGCCTTCTCGGATTTTGACAAGTTGATCATCTTGTTCTTGAGCGGACTTGACAGTTGATTCGAGCGGCGGTTCAATGATCAAGGCGGACATGGATTTGCGTCTATGAGCGTCTGCGACAATGTTGGCTTTACCGGAATGGTAAAGGATTTCGCAATCATATTCCTTGACTAATTCAAGCCATCTTCTTTGCCTCATATTGAGCTCTTTCTGAGTAAAGAAGTACTTGAGACTTTTGTGGTCGGTGAAGATCGAACATTTTTCGCCGTAAAGGTAATGTCTCCAAATTTTCAGGGCGAACACGACTGCCGTGAGTTCCAAGTCGTGTGTCGGGTAATTCTTCTCGTAGTCTTTTAATTGTCTAGAGGCATAGGCAATCACGTTCCCATTTTGCATTAGGACGGCTCCGAGCCCGTGCTTGGAGGCGTCACTATAGACCAAATAGTTCCCGGTTTTATCGGGTAGAGCGAGGATTGGTGCCGAGGTTAATCGCTTCTTGAGTTCTTGGAAACTAGACTCGCATTCGGGAGTCCATTGATACTTGACTTCCTTTCGGGTCAAACAAGAGAGTGGAGCGGCTATCTTGGAAAAGTTCGGAATGAACCGTCGGTAGTAGCCTGCAAGGCCGAGGAAACTTCGGATTTCTCCGGCATTACGAGGGATTGAGCAATTACAAACGGCTTCAATTTTGCTTGGATCAACGGCTATACCTTCCTTGGAAATTACGTGACCAAGAAAGTGGTCTTGTCTTAACCCAAACTCACATTTGAAAAACTTCGCATAGAGTTGGTTCTCTCGGAGAGTTTGGAGCACCATTTCAAAATGATTCCGATGTTCTTCATCATTGCTTGAATACACTAAGATATCGTCGATGAATATGATCACAAATTGGTCGAGATATTTGCGGAAGATTCGATTCATGAGATCCATGAAAGCGGCTGGGGCGTTGGTTAGACCAAACGACATCACTACAAAATCGTAATGGCCGTAACGAGTCCGAAACGCTGTTTTCGGAATGTCTTCCTTCTTGATCTTCAATTGATGATATCCGGAACGGAGGTCGATTTTGGAATAGACCGTGGAGCCTTGAAGTTGGTCGAAAAGGTCGTCAATTCTTGGCAATGGATACTTGTTTTTGACGGTGACCTTGTTGAGTTCTCGGTAATCGATACACATCCGGAGGGTTCCGTCTTTCTTTTTCACGAAGAGTATCAGAGCACCCCATGGGGAAAAACAAGGGCGGATGAACATCATGTTGATAAGATCTTGAATTTGGTCCTTGAGTTCCTTTAGCTCTAACGGCGCCATGCGGTAAGGTGCCTTCGAGATAGGAGCGGAACCGGGGATCAAATTAATTTCAAATTCTATTTCGCGATCGGGTGGAAGACCGGGGAGATCTTCGGGAAAGATATCGGGAAATTCGCAAACGGTTGGCACTTTGGAAATGTCGGTTTTATCTTCGTTGAGAGCCTCCACTATGTCGACCAGATGACATAGATGCTCTTTTTGAATAAGTTTGCTCGCTTTAATGGCGGAAATGATAGGAATCGACGGATTATACGAGCTTCGGAATTCGAGAAAACTTCCATTCGGTACGGAGAAACGAACGGTTTTGTGAACGCAATTGATTTGGGCGTCGAATTTTGATAACCAATCCATTCCGAGGATTATTTAAAAATGTTTAATGGGTAGGATGATCAGATCGGAGGCTAGGGTTTGGTTATGAATCTGAATAGGGAAATCTTTGATGATGAAATAGGATTTAAGTTCATCACCGGAAGGAATGAGTATGCTAAACAAGGCATCGGCTTGACTACGGACTAGGCGGAGTTCGGCAACGAGGGTACTTGAGATGAATGAGTGAGTTGATCCGGAGTCGATGAGGGCATACACGGAATTATTATACACATTAACGGTACCTGCGATCATTGACAGGTCAGCTTCGGCTTGGTCTCTAGTCATGGCGAATACTCGTCCCGGCACTTGTCTCGGGGCGATAGGGCAATCTACCATGTGTCCGGGCTTCTTGCATCGAAAACAATGGTTGGTTCCGGCAACACAATCGCCTGAGTGCTCTCGGTTGCATTTGGGGCAAAAGGGCTTGTTGCTCGGGATCACGGTTGCTCGGTTGATCGGTTGTTTTCCTTTGGCGTTGTTGAGGTTCGGTTTCTTCCATGGTCGAGAAGAGGCATCATGAGGAGGTCTCCATTGTCGGATTTCCATCTCGTCTTGTTCGGCTTCCAAGGCTTTGTCCACTACTCCGCGGAAAGAAGAGGCAGAGGTTAGTCGAACGTCGCGCTTGATTATCGAGTTGAGGCCTCTTAGGTAGTGATTCATTTTCTCGGTGTCGTCTTTGGATATGAAAGGTGCGTAGAGGCTTCCTTGCTCGAAACGGCGTGTAAATTCGGCAACGGTTAGGTTCCCTTGTTTGAGTTCGAGAAACTCCTTAAGCTTTTGTGCTCGGACATTCTTGGAAAAGTACTTTTCGAAGAAAAGAACTTTGAAAGCTTCCTAAGTGGTATTTGCTAGATCGATCCCACTCTTTGCGCCTTCCCAGCAATTTCGGGCTTCGTTTTTCAACAAGAATAGTGCGCAATGGATTCGGTCGCTGTCATTCATCACCATGTATTCGAAAATAACTTCAAGGGATTTGACCCATTTTTCGGCAACAGTTGGACTTGGGCCGCCGTGGAATTCGGTAGGACGCATTTTCAAAAATCGCTCGTAGGTGGCTTGTGGGGCTGTATTTCTAGGTGGGGGAGGAGGAGGAGGAGGAGGGTTTCGGTTTTGGAGGTTAACAAGGCGGTTGATTTGTTCATTTTGTTCTCGGATGAGGGCGGTGAGGTGTTGGATGGTACGAGATTTATTGTGAGGATCATTAGCGGCATTTTGAGCTCGAGTTCTTGCTCCAGACATTTTAATACCTAAACATATACAAACAATTCACATTAGCCATAAAATTCACATAAAACATATAACTGCCCGAGTATTCAGTTGGAGTCGTGCTTTGAGAATCGTGAAGATCTTTAGGTCGTATGGAGAATTCCGGGATCGTTGCTCTGATACCATGTCTGCTGTGACACCTCTCTCTCGATTACTCTTATTATATGTAATCTCAACGGAAGACTTTTAAAAAAAATGATTTTTTGTGGATATAAATTTACGTAAAAATTTACTTTTTAAATCAGAGGGAGAGAGGTCACACTATACTAAACCATAATCAACCAATTAATACCAAAGCATGCTACATGCAAGACTAGAAAGTAACTATGCATGATGGAGTTAATGCAAGTTCGGACAGATTCAATGCAGAAGCTTTAAAAATTAATTCCTCTTAAACTACTCATGCAAATGACCCCAAATAATACCATACCATCTAACACCGGTCTAGATCACTAAGTTAAAACAGTTTTGAAATATGCATGGCCATTTAGGAGAAATAAATAAAATGGCACAGCCACTCCGTTTAAAATCTAGAACACGAAAGGGAGTTTGGAAAATTCATAATAAATTCCTCACTGACCGAAAAACTACCACATTTTAACCCCAGGGAGAAAAATACGTTTAAAACATTTTTCAAGTGGAAACAAGGAATTTAAGTGAGTAAAACTCAAGTTATACCAGAAAACATTGGAATGACCCTGTTTAAATGCAGTAGTGAGAAATAAATCATAACTAATTGGATACTTATCCAAATCATGCAAAAGAAATATCAATATGTTGGGAACAGAGAGATGCAGAGACTGCGAAAGTTTTATGGTTTGCTAAGCAGAAAACCTATATGAAAATAATTTTCAAACATCGAGACAAAACATAAGGAAGTCACTAGCCGAAAAGCGTGCATGCATATAGATGGTAAAAATTTGCTTTCGCTTACAAAAGACTACGGATTACCGATTAATTATCCAAATTGGGGTAATCCTAATTACTATTACACATATCATCTTTCAATAATTCCCACCGATCGGAGGAAGCGAGCGGTAGAAAATACCTAAAACCGTATCAAAAGTTTTTACAAGCATATTATACAAATAGAACCACATAACTAAATTAAGAGCCAACACAATCCACAACCCCTCCATACGATCTCCTTCCGATTCTCGAGCTCGATTCCCAACTTCACTCCTCAGGCTCCAAATCGGGTATACCTACAAACATACGACACCTATATGAGCCTTTGAGGACTGAATGAGAATTTTGAAGTATTATCGAATACACATAACACATAGAGCATACATATATATATATATATATATATATATATATATATATATATATATATATATATATATATATATATATATATATATATATATATATATATATATACTTCCCTTTTTCGTCGGAGTTCTTCATCACATAATTGTCACACGCATAGAGTGAGATAATTCCCACTTTTATAACCCTATGATCCCAAGACCATAGAGTGAGAATATCCCACATTTATAACCCTATGCCATGACACGTATTAAAGATTATAGAATGAGAATCTCCCACCTTTATAACCCTACGATCCCAAGACCATTGTAACGCCCCGCATTTTCATAAGCATATTATATGAAATTATATTGATTAAATTGATAATTTCCAATTCATGAATTAATTAGTAACTTTTGCGTACCCTAAATGATTACGTGGTTTATATGCACTGTGCTATTTTATGTTATGTCTATATATGAGCAATGTGCGATCAACTCGATTTGATTGAATGATTAAGTAATTCTATTTATGTGATTAAATGCATGATGTGTTTTAAATGAATAATTAATCTATGCTAATAATGATATAAAATTTTGATTATATTGATTTGTCTCTCGTGTACATGCTTAATTATAATTTAAATGATCTCATGAGAATCATGATATGATAATTAATCTATCTAATATTTGTTTTACGATTTATGGTTTAGAGTATGTGGATACATATATGAATGTTGTGTGTATATATATGCTACGTGAGTTATGATGTGGTAATTAATCTATGCAATTTATCTCTAATTGTTTTATGATTTAGTGAGTATAGATATATCTATTAGAGTTGTGGATGTATACCATGTGTGTAGTGGGTGCATGTGCCGTGTATGTGCTGCACTATATGTGTATTAAGTGCCATGTATTAAGGGATTAATGAAATCCTTGACTTGCAAATATTTGATTAAATTGCTATTAGGACCCCCATGGTTTAGATATTGCATCATAGCCCTCATGTAAATTTCTCAAGACTTTCCAAGCATAAGCTTGTAAATTGCCATTTACCTCTCTTTCTTCCTTTCCTCGTCTTTCACGGCAGCATAACACACACACACACACAAATCTCTTTTCTCCTCTTTGAGTCAACGAAGGAAGACTCCTCTTCTTCTCCTCCCAACTTCCCTACAACATCCCTTCACTCTCCTTCCTCTCACCTCACGACAGCTAACACACAAAAGCAGAATTCTCTTCTCTTCACACTATCGGCTGCCTCCCCCAAGACGCAACGGGAACTCATCAAATTTCCCCTTCTTCTCGGGGAAGTTTCACACCTAATGAATGGAATTAATTTCCCTATAAATCACCCAAACTATCAAGAGGATAAGACACGGGATAGCTCCAAGTTCAGCCCATAAGCCTTCAAGCCAAAGCTCCGAGAATCCTTCGGTTTACTCTTCCTCTTTGTGTTCGATTTTCTTCAAAGAGGTAATGACTTTGGTCTTTACTGAATTGATGATAAATAATAAGATATGTTTATGTGTTTAATTGATTCATATTTTTAGGAATCGGATTTAGGGATTTAGGTCAAGAAATATAGATTTCAATGAACCCTAGCTCGATTTCCAGATTCATAGCCTCAGATTCCAGTGCATGTTTCATCGATGAATTATTTTCTGAAAATTATGAAATTAATTGTGCATGTAGATATTTCTGTTAGCTTCGTTTTGATATATGGTATGCGTAAATCGAAATTATATTGATCTCGTTATGAACTGTTTTATGAAACTGCACGATTTCTGAGTCATCTATGAATTATGTGTTAAATTAGATTTTATCTTGTTTTAATTCATTCGATTCTAACTGGATATAATTAAATACTTATAAAACTGATTCTCCGCAAAGTTTCATGGTGTTTTGTTGAAATAATGATTTAATTGGTATTTTTAAAGTTGAATGCTCTGTTCTGAAATTCTGCGGGTGTTACTGTACTAAATGAATTATTTCTTTCCCATGGATAGGTATTTTACTGAACTGTTTTAATATGGTATAAATCACATATATGTGAACGTGTTGTGGAAATTTATTAATGTTTGTATGTACGGTTTAAGAGATATGAATTTCCAAAGTTGAAGTGCCGAATCTGCCAGATTTCCTTGTAGTTCTTTGGAATAGAAAATGTGGATTTGAATTTCATATATTATATGCGTAAGTGCTATTATGATTATCGTATGCTTATATGTTAACATAAATGTATAACCTAGAAAACGCATGAATTGCATATAAGATAATCACGTTGGTATGTTATAATTATGAAAGTGGTTATATGAAATAATATGATAATCCCCTTCTCTTGTATGTGATACCTCTGGTATGTGGTACGTGTACGTTGCATAATATATGTGAATTATAAGAATGTTTATTTATGCAATTTGAATCGATTATGTGAGTTATTTGAAGAAGAAACTCTAAGGGAGAAAATGGTTTGAATGTGTTTATTAGCTATTTGGTTATGTGTTATATGGTTACATGTTTTATGCTAAGTGCAAGTTCGATCTAACATGGTTATATTATTGGAGTCGAATGATTTGTCATTTATGGTATTGCATGGTCAACTGTAGGAAAGTCAGAATCTTAATATGGTTATCGGTCGAGTAGACACGGGAATACGAGGGGCCAGTATTCCAACTACGGTACTATACACTAGAGTGGGTAGCTCCCCTCAAAACAGGCTCAGAATATCGACGTCTATTACCGATAATCATGTTATGAATCTGATAGGGATACCGTCACATTATAGTAATTGTGTTGACATAAAGTATGAGAATGTTTATTTATGCGTTTTGAATTGTTTATGTGATTTGTCATTTATGATATCGCATGGTCAGCATAGAGAAGTCAGGATCTTAATATGGCTATCGGTCGAGTAGACACGGAAATACGGAGGGGCCGGTATTCCAACTATGGTACTATAGACTATAGAGTGGATAGCTTCCACTAATAAACGGGCTCAGAATATCGACGTCTATTACCGATAACCGTGTTATGAATCTGATAGGTATCCCGTCATATTGCATCTATATGTTTAAATTCTTAATACAGACTATGGGGACTTTATGTCTATATGTGCTACGGCTATCGGGTCGTTGC